GCGTGCAAAGAGAGGGGAGGCATTTAAATGCCTCCTGTCCCGTCCCTAAGGTGGGCAAGCCAGGATGGGCCGGGGAAAGAGTGGGGAGGCATTTAAATGCCTCCTCATGACTTCTCTGTGGAGTCGCGCCACTGCTTCCATTATATTCTATGGCCCCAGCAGCGGCGCAACTCTAGAAAAAAAGGCGTGCGGGGGCAGGGCTGCCGGGGCGGTGCTCCAGCGCGCTCCGACCCCAAATGACCCCTGTGTTTATCTAATTCCCTCTTGAAGCCGTCCATGCTTGTAGCCGCTGCCACCTCCCGTGGCAGTGAATTCCATGTGTTCATCACTCTTTGGGTGAAGAAGGACTTCCTTTTATCCGTTCTAACCCGACTGCTCAGCCATTTCATGGAGTGCCCACGAGTTCTTGTATGGTAAGAAAGGGAGAAAAGTACTTCTTCCTCTATCCCATGCATAATCTTATAAACCTCGATCATGTCATGTGTTCTTCATGTGTTCACATGTTCCATTTCCTCTGCTGCCACTCTGCATTTGGAGTTCTGGCCCCACTGGCGGACCTCCTGATGGCCCCTGGGTTTTGCCCAGTGTGTGACACAGAGTGTTGGACTGGATGGGCCGCTGGCCTGATCCGACATGGCTTCTCTTATGTTTTGCTTCTGCCACCTGAACCCAGAATACTGGGCTCTCAGTCCCTGAGCCCCTCTCCATCTAATTCATTTCACGCAACTTCCCAGGTTTTCGTGTAGAAGCCAGCCCAATTTCTTCCCACGTGCAGGACCAAGCACACTGGCACACAGGGAGGGCCGAAACAAACAGTCTACAGCAAGCTACGGGTGAGTCAGACATCAGGCCGACATGCAAGTCCTGAGAGTCAGCCACCCCAAGAAAAGCCGTTCTATGGAAAATGCCTCATGCTTTTGTCCAGGCCTTCAGTGGCGAAGCTGTCTCCTGGTACGTGACAAAAACCAAAACTCCATCTTCGGCAATGCATCCACCATCACCTTTTTAACTCCTTGCCAAAGAAAGCCAAGTTCGGCACGCAGAATTTAGCGACAGACATGAAGCTGCTTTATACTGAATCAGACCCCTTGGTCCATCTAGGCCTCGGCCACACGGGCAGGAAAATGCGGGGGGGAGGCGTGGCTGTTTGCCCCGGAGCAAACTAATGCGCGACTGCGCAATCAGGCGTAGGGTTGAGGTCCCGTCAAGCTCCCGTGGTTAGGGGGGAGGTGCCGATCACACGACCCGGCAAAGAAGCGGCAAACGGGGTTCTTGGGGGGTTTTTTAACTGAAATGTGCGCATGCTCCGTTGGGTGCTTGTGCGCATCCGTGGAGACTTGGGGGGAAAAAACCTTTTTGAGAGGGGACATGGGCGGGCGCCGGAACTACCACTGGAAACGCGATCAGGCGCCCGCCCTTGCCCCGCGGTTTCCGGAAACTAGTACCTCCGAGGTACTAGTTTTTTACCCCGCATCTTCGGCGGGAAGCCTCGGGTGCGCCATGGGAGCTCTACGCTTCCCAGATGTGGCGGTGAGATCGTGCCCGGAAAATCCGCCTATCTTCCGTCTCTCTAGCGTGCCTAATGCTCCGTGTGACCGGGGCCCTAGTTCCGTATTGCCTACTCTGGCAGCTGCTCTCCAGGGCTGAAGTCTCTCACATCACTTAACACTTGGTCCTTTTAACTGGAGGCGCCCGGGATTGAACCTGGGACCTTCTGCAGGTGAAGCAGAGGCTCTGCCACTGAGCCACGCCCCCGCCCCACAATCACACACAGTTTGCCCGATACATCAAAAACAATCAATTTTTTCCAACCAATCCAGTACTTTCCTGCAAAGTGATAAGCAGGCTGAAAAGGGGGAAACTCCTTGGTGTGCCAGATTCCGCACCTAAGCAGGCTGCACGCACCCAGCCAGCTCCAAAGCGAGGAGCGGGGGATCCTGTCCCAGCGCGCCCGTCCTTGAATCATCCTCTCAAGTGGGCATCAGCGTCAGAACACACACTCTGGGCACAGCGTTCGATGCCTTTCCAGGCGAGATGGCATTCAAGCAGCTCCTTCATTAGCAGGGAGCTGTTATATAAGCACCATTCTGAATGTTTTCGGCGTTTCGCTGGTCCCTGGAGGACAGCGTGGAGCCGGCTCAGGCTCACACGCGAGATGGGGAAAAGGTCAGGCTGATTACGCTGATGAGCGCAAAGCAGCTCCTGGGTCTTACTGCCACGTATTCGAGACTCACTGTATGGGGGCGAAGGACACCCAGAAGGACAAGCAGCCAGCTGCTCTCATGCGCTCAGGACGCCAAAGGCTGTGCACCACTTGCAAGCAACTGCCTTCCGCACAGGGTGTCTGGCAGCATCTCGACTGGAGGCTGCACAGAGCATAGAAAAAACGCAGGAGCAAAACTGGGCTAGACGGAACAGCGGTCTGACCCGACATAAAGCAGAGGAACAATCCAGGCAGCAAAGGTTCTTGACTCAAACAGCAAGCGAACAAAGCCATGGGGTGTCATGGGCATGGATGAGGGAGAGCTGACAGAGCTGCAAAAAGGAACCGCAGCTGGCCCCTCTGAAGCAGCAGAGAAGGATAGCTGGCAGTTGCCTGTAACAGCATTCTTCACACCTGGCCCAGATAAGGGGGAAGAACTGCAAGCTGAAAGCCCTCCTGACTCACCCCCACGTGTGACTCGTTTAAGGGAGCGACTGCAGCAAAACTTAGCAACCAGGCGATGAGAGGCCAGGCTACAGGGAAGACGCTCGGCTAGCCCAGAGTTCTACCAGGAGCCAGGGCGATCGTGCAGCTGGCTAATTGGTAACAGCATTTAACTCCACACTCTGGGCAGTACTCTTTGTGGAAGCAACAAGTCAGATTCATGCTACTAGTATCCACTCCAGCTCGACTTTTGCACCTAGACCTTCGGACCCCCTGGCTTTGGACTTGGCTCTGTGTTCCTGGCTCCTGACCCCAGCTTAGCTTTTGGAACTATGCTTCTGGTTAGTGTTTTTGGATTTGGCTCTGTGTTTCTGGCTCCTGACCCCGGCTTGGCTTTGGACTTTGCACTGTCTTCTTGGCTCCTGACCTTGGTCTGTTCTGGACTCCCTTTGACTGGCACCCCAGCCTTTGACACCCTCCTTTCACAAGTCCCCTACAACAGTTTTTGAGGGGGCACCAGATGTGCATCCAGGGCACACCCCACCACCGCAACCCATGCTCTCCCACAACCTGCACTACTCCATTCTTACTATATAGATCAGAACAGCATGGCAGAAATATACTCTGAGCCTACAGAAGGGGCGTCTTTTCCTAGCATGTTTCTGCCTTAGTACAGAGGTACAAAACGGACAGCGTGTTTGGATGCCCTCTGGCCCCGAGGCCTAAGCCGGTTGTTTTGGCCAGCAGATGAAGTCACACAAAATCCAAGGGGTCTCCATGCAAGACTGCTGGGGTGCAACTAAGGCTAACAGGACACAGCCACTGGCAGGGGCTAAATCCACTGGGCCAGCCAAGAGCGTGAGCCAGTCTCAAAGCACAACTGACCTCGGCAGCCCCCTCCCCGCCCTCCGCAAAGCACCTCCGATGGTCAGCAGGAACACTCACCATAAAGATCCGGTCCGTGTGGCGTGAAGACGTTATACAAAACAATATTGAGAGGCGTGATCACCAGCTTCCCGTAGTGATAACTGTCGACCACCACCAGGGGTACCTTCAACAAGCAATACACAGTTTGTAAGTTCTCTCACACTTTGCGCAATCTCACAAACTAAGAGCGGCATTTGAATTCTGTCTATAAAGCCAAAGAGGCACACTGATTGGGACATACTGTGAGTGTAAAGTGCCATCAAGTCACAACCGACTTATGGCCACCCCTGCAAGGGGCTTCCAAGGCAAGGGAGGAGCAGAGGCAGTTCGCCATGGCCTTCCTCTGCAGAGCCTTCCTTGGCGGTCATCCAAGTACTGACCCTGCTTAGCTTCCAACTTATGGCCACCCCAGCCAGGGGCTTCCAAGGCAAGGGAGGAGCAGAGGCAGTTCGCCATGGCCTTCCTCTGCAGAGCCTTCCTTGGCGGTCATCCAAGTACTGACCCTGCTTAGCTTCCAACTTATGGCCACCCCAGCCAGGGGCTTCCAAGGCAAGGGAGGAGCAGAGGCAGTTCGCCATGGCCTTCCTCTGCAGAGCCTTCCTTGGCGGTCATCCAAGTACTGACCCTGCTTAGCTTCCAACTTATGGCCACCCCAGCCAGGGGCTTCCAAGGCAAGGGAGGAGCAGAGGCAGTTCGCCATGGCCTTCCTCTGCAGAGCCTTCCTTGGCGGTCATCCAAGTACTGACCCTGCTTAGCTTCCAACTTATGGCCACCCCAGCCAGGGGCTTCCAAGGCAAGGGAGGAGCAGAGGCAGTTCGCCATGGCCTTCCTCTGCAGAGCCTTCCTTGGCGGTCATCCAAGTACTGACCCTGCTTAGCTTCCAACTTATGGCCACCCCAGCCAGGGGCTTCCAAGGCAAGGGAGGAGCAGAGGCAGTTCGCCATGGCCTTCCTCTGCAGAGCCTTCCTTGGCGGTCATCCAAGTACTGACCCTGCTTAGCTTCCAACTTATGGCCACCCCAGCCAGGGGCTTCCAAGGCAAGGGAGGAGCAGAGGCAGTTCGCCATGGCCTTCCTCTGCAGAGCCTTCCTTGGCGGTCATCCAAGTACTGACCCTGCTTAGCTTCCAACTTATGGCCACCCCAGCCAGGGGCTTCCAAGGCAAGGGAGGAGCAGAGGCAGTTCGCCATGGCCTTCCTCTGCAGAGCCTTCCTTGGCGGTCATCCAAGTACTGACCCTGCTTAGCTTCCAACTTATGGCCACCCCAGCCAGGGGCTTCCAAGGCAAGGGAGGAGCAGAGGCAGTTCGCCATGGCCTTCCTCTGCAGAGCCTTCCTTGGCGGTCATCCAAGTACTGACCCTGCTTAGCTTCCAACTTATGGCCACCCCAGCCAGGGGCTTCCAAGGCAAGGGAGGAGCAGAGGCAGTTCGCCATGGCCTTCCTCTGCAGAGCCTTCCTTGGCGGTCATCCAAGTACTGACCCTGCTTAGCTTCCAACTTATGGCCACCCCAGCCAGGGGCTTCCAAGGCAAGGGAGGAGCAGAGGCAGTTCGCCATGGCCTTCCTCTGCAGAGCCTTCCTTGGCGGTCATCCAAGTACTGACCCTGCTTAGCTTTCTGAGATCTGATGAGATCGGGCTGTACCAGGCCTCCTTCCTTCCCCAGAACATATTACAAAATTACAACTGACGCTGAACATGGGACTGCTGTCAAACCCCACATCCCCGAGGCAGGTTAACTCCCTTTACCCTGTAATATGCAGTTATTCTATTCACAGCATTTATTAGTCGCCTTTCTACCTTGTGGCACTCAAGGAAAGGTTAAAGCGCTTGGGGCTCTTTAGCTTGGAGAAACAACGGCTGAGGGGTGACATGATCGAGGTTTATAAGATCATGCATGGGACAGAGCAGGTAGAGAAAGAAGTACTTTTATCCCTTTCTTACAAGACAAGAACTCGTGGGTACTCAGTGAAATGGCTGAGCAGTCAGGTTAGAACGGATAAAAGGAAGTCCTTCTTCGCCCAAAGAGTGATTAACATATGAAATTCAGTGCCACAGGAGGTGGCGGCGGCTACAAGCATGGATGGCTTCAAGAGGGAATTACATAAGCATATAGAGCAGAAGTCCCTCAGTGGCTCTTAGCCACAAGGTATAGATAGGAACTCTCAGTCTGGGGCAAGGGATGCTCTGTCTTCTTGGTGTTTGGGGAGAGGGGGGCAATAGTATGAGGGCTCCTAGTGTCCTGGCCCCACTGCTGGACCTCCTGATGGCACCTGGTATTTTTGGCCACTGCGTGACAGAGTGTTGGACTGGATGGGCCATTGGCCTGACCCAGCATTGGCTTCTCTTATGTTCTTAAGGCAGTTTACAATACAAATAAAACAGCTGTAAAACACATAAAAGGCAACAGTTTAAGGTCTCAATTGGGACTGCCAATAAATAATAACTAAGTTAGTCAAATGCTGTCCTAAACAGATCAGCCTTCAACTTTTCACTGAACCTCATGGTGTGTGCTCATCCCAGTGTGTGTTTTCCTGCCACCATCCACACTGTTATCTGCCCCTGGCAGGGAGGTTCGGGGTGGAAACACGCAATGAGACCACACCCTGGCTTGGGATGAGCGATGGCCCACAGGACAGGGCAGAAGTGGAGCACGTGGCACGGGGATTTCACTTTGGGTGGCAGCCCTCGGCTGGCATAATACCAAGTTCTGCTTTTACATTTGATTAGAACCCGAGAGCCCCGCAGGACTGGGCTAGCTAGTCCAACATTCACTCTCAGACCCTCTTTTGGGGCTCCTGTCGTTGATCACGACGCCTGGGTGACGACCACTGTTCCCTCTAAGCTGAGTTAGTGTGAGCTAGCTCACAGTTTTTTAGCTTTCAGCTCACACATTTTTGTCTTCACTCAGGAAGGGATGGCTCCAGAGCAAACTAATTTATGCAGTAGCCAAATCGTTCGCTCACAACTTTAATGCCAGGAGCTCACAAAGTAGAATTTTTGCTCAGAAGACTCCACAGCTTAGAGGGAATATTGGTGACGACCCAGTTGGCGGCAGAAAACACACCCAACCAGCTGCTTTGGGGTTTCTTCAGAGCTCCCTTCATGCCTTGCTTCACCGTCTCACTTCCTCCGGACTCCTCCTCTTCCTCCACCTACTTTCTCTGCTTCTCATTCGGCACCATCCTTCCCGCCCCCTTGCCTTTGAGGTCCCTGCCCCCCTTTGCTCCTCTGTTCCTCTAGGATCATTCACCCTTTGGGCCTGCATGAAGCTTGAATCCCATACGAAGTGACAACTTTCCCTTCCCTCACAGAATCTGGACCTGTCAGGAGCTGGGGGCCTGGAGGCCATGCACTCCCTGTAGTCTCCCCCAGTTTGTGAGGCTTTCTGCTCCTGTGGGCCCCTCCTAGCTTATTGTTATTAGCTTCATAGAGAACCTTTCCCCTCTGAGGGAGGAGGGCGTAGCCCTGCCCAGAGTTTTAGGGAAGTCAGGATGCAGGACTGGCCTTTGTAGTGTTGGAGGGGAACGGCAACCTGTCCTGAATCGGGGGTCAGAGCACCAGACACCTCCCGCCTCGGACCCTGGGTGCACTTTCCCAGACCTGGCAAGCAAAGCGGCAGCTGCCATCGGGGAAGGTAGGTGCCCCCGTGCTGGGGAGGCATGGGCAGGCCAGCCTGCTGTAGAAAAGCAAAGCAAAGTGCAGATGTATTAGGGAGCTCGTATTGGTTTGTCTCTGCTTGATCAACAGAACCCTATTAGAATGCTGGCTGTCTTGTACTTTTTGACCTTTTCTATTCCAAAGGGGCTGCGGTGGCTCAAGTGGTTAAGACGCTGAACTGCAGACCAGAAGGCGGGTAGTTCAGCAGTTTGAGACCCGAGTGCCACATGACGGAGTGAGCTCCCGTCTCTGGTCCCAGCTCCTGCCAACCTAGCCGTTTGAAAGAAATTGCAAGTAGATAAATAGGTACCGCTTCGGTGGGAAGGGAACAGCGTTCCGTGTGCCTCGGCGTCTAGTGATGCTGGCCACATGACCATGGAGAAGTCTTTGGACAGCGCTGGCTCTTTGGCTTGGAAACGGAGATGAGCACCGCAACCCTAGAGTCAGATTCAACTGGCTTTCGAGCAAGGGAAACTTTTACCTTTACTATTCCAAATGGAATCTGTTAATAAAAGTTTTCCAGACCTCACTGTGGGGGGTTTCTGTACCCCTCAGGCTTGGCAGCTGAGCCAGGATGCTTTCTCTTGTAATAAAAAGGGGGTCTGACATGGGGGGAGGGAAGGGCGTAACCTGGGCACCCCCCTTCAGTAAAGCAACTCCCCCCCAAAAAAAATTTCAACATTGGTGGCAGCGGCAAACGCCACTTACCCATTGGTTAATCTGGGGGGGGGGGGGGGAAACGGAGCAGAAAAATGGGGGGAAGGGGCCCTGGGGCCAATTCCCCCCACTCCAGGCACCCCTATTTATGTGAGAGGAGCCCAAGGATTCCAACAGCCATGCTTCCTAAAAAGCCAGAAAGTTACAAACAAGTCCATAGTGACAAAGACCTGATTTACATATGCAGGAAAATGAGGTGGACACACAGGTGGGATCTGCACCAAGGCTCCCTCTAAGCTGTGGAGTCTTGTGAGCAAAAATTCTACTTTGTGAGCTCCTGGCATTAAAGTTGTGAGCGAGAGATTTGGCCGCTGCATAAATTAGTTTGCTCCGGGGCCATCCTTCCTGAGCTAAGACAAAAATGTGTGAGCCAGAGGCTAAAAAACTGCGAGCTAGCTCACACTCACTCAGCTTACAGGGAAAACTGGTCTGCACCGAGGACCTTCTTGGTCGTGGCCCCAAAGCTCTGGAACTCTCTCCCCGTGAACGGCCCTGTCTGCACCGAGGACCTTCTTGGTTGTGAGCCCCAAAGCTCTGGAACTCTCTCCCCGTGAAGAGTCATCTGTCTCCGTCTGCTGCTGTCTTGGCCAGCAGATGACGACTCTTTCGTTTCATCTGGCATTCCCGCAATGATCCCTCCTTCCTAACCGATGTTTTAATTGCTGTTCTTTGTGTGTATTTTATCTGTTTTTGAACTACTTTAATGATGTGTGTTTGGGTGCTTTGATTTTAATAGTTTTAAAATGTGGTTTTTATCAAGTGTGCTATAAATCGTTAGCCACCTTGGTGGGCCTTGTACAGGCAGAAAGGCGGGATACAGATTTTGTTAATAAACATCAAACCGTAGGTGGAAGATTCCATTTTAGAATGTTCACATTTAAAAAAAAACAAACACAAAAACCTTCCCTACAAATAGAATACAAACACAGCAAGGAAAGTGCAAAGGTAAAAACTGGAATTCACCCCCCGAAAAGTCTGCCGTAGTGGCGATCATTCTGCCACCTCAGTGCCCTAAATGGGTCAACCAGGCAAGAAGCTTCACTGGAACAAGCGGAAAACAGGCAATTGGGGGGGTTAAACAGAACCCAGACGCTTTTAAAACTCCAGTTCAGTTCACAGAATCATGGAATCATAGAATGTTACGTTGGAAGGGACCTTGCAGGTCATCTAGTCCAACCCCCTTCACTCTGCAGGAGCACAGCCGAAAGAGCCCTACAACATACCCAAAAGATGGTCGTCCTATTTTGTTAATAAACATCAAACCGTAGGTAGATTCCATTTTAGAATGTTCACATATTTTTTAAAAAACCCAAAAACCTTCCCTACAAATAGAATACGAACGCAGCAAGGAAAGTGCAAAGGTAAAAACTGGAATTCACCCCCCGAAAAGTCTGCCGTAGTGGCGATCATTCTGCCACCTCAGTGCCCTAAATGGGTCAACCAGGCAAGAAGCTTCACTGGAACAAGCGGAAAACAGGCAATTGGGGGGGTTAAACAGAACCCAGACGCTTTTAAAACTCCAGTTCAGTTCACAGAATCATGGAATCATAGAATGTTACGTTGGAAGGGACCTTGCAGGTCATCTAGTCCAACCCCCTTCACTCTGCAGGAGCACAGCCGAAAGAGCCCTACAACATACCCAAAAGATGGTCGTCCTGCCTCTGCTTGAAAACGTCCAGCAAAGGAGCATCCACCACCTCCCGAGGCAGTCTGTTCCACTGCTCAACCACTCTGACAGTTAGGAAGTTCCTCCTGATATTTAACCAGTGATGACTCCCTTGTAATTTCCACCTATTCGATCTAGTCTTGCAATCCGGAGCAAGAGAGAATAGATCTGCTCCATCTTCTACATGACAGCCCTTCAAATACTTGAAGACTGCAATCATGTCCCCTCTAAGCCTTCTCTTTCCGAGGCTAAACAACAGACCCGACTCCTTCAGCCTTTCCTCGTAAGACTTGGATCTAAACCCTCTTGTTGCTGACTGGTGAAGAAGGGAACCCTTTCCTACTTCTGAATTGTCTTGTTCACGTGGACACCCATTCCCCAAGCACTCCTGCCCCTACCTAGAAAGCAGCATTGAGAAACGCTGGCACATCTTCCCTAGCTTCCACAAGCACAAACTTACTTGCGCGGAATGCTTTCCTTTACCCAAGGAGTGTGCGAACGTTACGATGGAAGAAAGAGTCTCTCCTGACAGAAATATTTGATGTGAAAGATGTGGAAGACAGAGATGCCCCCACTCCGCCCTCCTCGGCCACAACCAGTTGTGGGAACTCACCAGGAATACCACCAATGCCACAAGAGACCACTTCAGGAAGCTCCGCCATCTTCTCTTGAGTATCAGGAAGTCAAAGGCGATTGGAAGCCTGGCGAGCAAAACAACAAAGTGATGCTTTAATGGGAGGACAGTTTCAGAGGGTGGGCATGTTGGTCTCCAGTAGAATAGCTAGATTCATGTCCCGCAGAAGAACCTTAGATACCAACTAGATTTTCAGAGTATAAGCTTTCGAGAGTCTGATGGTATCTGAGGAAGGGGGCTTTGACTCTTGAAAGAAGAAGAGGAGATTGGATTTATACCCTAGCCCAGTGATGGCGAACCTTTTAGAGACCGAGTGCCCAATCTGCGACCCAAAACCCACTTATTTATCGCAAAGTGCCAACACGGCAATTTAACCTGAATACTAAGGTTTTACTTTAGAAAAAGCAACTCATACATTAACTTAAGATGATCCAAACAAAGTAAGGAAAGCAATCCCAAATGCTTTCATTTACTTTAAATTATTTGGCAGAGAATTCGACACTTTAATTATTGTCTGGGCTTGGCTGGGGCAATGGCACACGTGCCCACAGAGAAGGCTCTGAGTGCCACCTCTGGCACCCGTACCATAGGTTCGCCACCACTGCTCTAGCCCTTCACTACCCGAAGGAGTCTCAGAGCGGCTTACAACCGCTTTCCCTTCCCCTCCCCACAACAGACACCCTGTGAGGTAGGTGAGGCTGAGAGAGCTCTCTCGAGGACTGCCCTTGAGAGAACAGCTCTGAAAGAACTTGTGAGTGACCCAAGGTCACACCAGCAGCTGCAAGTGGAGGAGTGGGGAATCAAACCCGGTTCTCCCTGATGAGAGTCTGTGCTCCTAACCACTACACCAAACTGGTTCTCTTATACCCCAAAAGCTTATACCCCCAAAATCTCGCTGGTCTCTAAGGTGCTACTGGACTCAAACAAACAAACAAGTACAAATACAACACCTCTATTGACATAAAAGTGTTACTGGACTCAAATCTAGCTGTCTAGGGGAGGAAGCGCCACAGAGATGCTTTATGGGACAACAGTCTCCCATCCCCAACTAAAGGAAACCCCTCGTTGTGGGAGAATAGTTGGGTAAGAGGTTCCAGCTGTTCCTTCGGCACCCTGTCTGTTTTTTTGGGGAAATACTACTACTGCTTAAAATCTGCATCGCACTACATTGCAGCCTTTTAAGACAGACTCTGAACTGGCAATCCTCGAAAGTTCTCTTTCAGAATCATGCAAATCATGGGATGCATTTGAAAAATTCTAGTTGAAGTAGTGCATAACTCTGCTAGCTACAGTCTCAGCATGGGGAAGCTCCCTTTCATCTCAAAGACAGCGCCCACCAAGGCTCCCTCTAAGCTGTGGAGTCCTGTGAGCAAAAATTCTACTTTGTGAGCTACTGGCATTAAAACTGTGAGTGAGCGATTTGGCTACTGCATAAATTAGTGTGCTCTGGAACTGTCCTTCCCGAGCTAAGAAAAAAATGTGTGAACCGGAGGCTAAAAAACTGAGCTAGCTCACGCTAACTCAGCTTAGAGGGAACACTGTGCCCCCCCCCTCCGGCACTTTCCTCTACAACCATGAAGGTTAGAAACATATTTGCTAAAAGATTCCTAAAAACTGACCCAGCCTCACAGCATCTGCAAAGAATTCAAACCACGATCCAAAGTACAAAATCCAAGCCCATCCAAAGGCAAACAACTACACAGCCACATCCCATGCGCATCTAGGCACAGCCTCGTGCAGGTGCTTGATTGACAAAACTTAGATCCCCAATCAATGCTCCCTCTAAGCTGTGGAGTCTTGTGAGCAAAAATTCTACTTTGTCAGCTCCTGGCATTAAAGTTGTGAGCGAGCGATTTGGCCACTGCATAAACTAGTTTGCTCTGGAGCCATCCTTCCTAAGCGAAGACAAAAATGTGTGAGCCGGAGGCTAAAAAACTGTGAGCTACCTCACACTAACTCAGCTTAGAGGGAACACTGTCCCCAATCAGTGTGCAAGAATTGAACTAATAAACCTGGGACGGACACGGGTGCCTTTCCACCTGCCTAGCTAGCCTTCCCGTGCCCAGTCAAAGCAACCAGGCCTGGAACACCTCCAGATACGCGCGTGCACTCCCGCCCCGCCGCCGTTGCTTACCCAAGTGCCGCACTGAAGGGCCAGCCGACGACGGCCCCAGCAGCCACTCCCATCACCGCCAGAGAGACCTTATCCATGTACCACCCAGTCATTGCTACTACTGTGCTGTACATGCAGAAGCTGCTGGGGAGAAAAGCTGCAAAGCAGAAGGAGTAAAAGGGTCAGGATCCGGGAGAAAGAAGAAAGCATTCATTTCACACAAGCTCACAGGCCACTCGGGGCAAAGTCAAGCATCCTCGGGAGGCCATCTTGGAGAACAGCACAGCACCGAGGGAAAGGGCTGTTTGGCGTTGCACGAGAACCAGCGTGAACCCTGAAAACCTACAGATTGGCAATGGTGTCTCAGAAGCAGCCCAATGAAGACTGGAGATCCTGTCCAGAGGTCCAAAAAACGAAGAGCAGAGGTCCATCAGTGGCTATTAGTCACAAGGAATAGATAGGAACTCTGAGGCAGGTGATGCTCTGTATTCTTGGTGCTTGGGGGGGGGACAACAGTGGGAGGGCTTCTAGTGTCCTGGCCCCACTGCTGGACCTCCTGATGGCCCCTGGTAATTTTGGGCCACTGTGTGACACAGAGTGTTGGACTGGATGGGCCATTGGCCTGATCCAACATTGGCTTCTCTTATGTTCTTATAAGAGGGAATTGGATAAGCATATGGAGCAGAGGTCCATCAGTGGCCCTTAGCCACAAGGTATAGATCGGAACTCTTGGACTGGGGCAAGGGATGCTCTGTATTCTTGGTACTTGGGGGGGACAACAGTGGGAGGGCTTCTACTGTCCTGGCCCCACTGCTGGAGTTCCTGATGGCACCTGCTATTTTTGGCCACTGTGTGACAGAGTGTTGGACTAGATGGGCCATTGGCCTGATCCAGCATTGGCTTCTCTTATGTTCTTATGTCCCTTGAAGATGATTTAGCTGAACAGGACTTGTGTTAGATCTTCCAGGATATAAGGCAGAGGTTAGGCAGAGAAATAACAATGGAAGGGTAACATGACAGAGGTTTAAAAAATTATGCATGAGATAGAGAAGGCAGAGAAAGAAGTACTTTTCTCCCTTTCGCACAAGACAAGAACTCCTGGGCACTCAATGAAATTAATGAGCAGGGGGCTTAGAACAAATAAAAGTACTTCTTCACCCAAAGAGTAACTAATACGTGGAATTCACTGCCGCAGGAAGTGGTGGTGGTGGCTACAAGCACAGCTTCAAGAGGGGACTGGATAAACATATGGAGCAGAGGTCCACAAGTGGCTATTAGCCACAAGGTATAGAGGGAACACTATGTTTGGGGCAGTGAAGCTCTGTATTCTTGGTGCTTGGGGGCAACAGTTGGAGGGCTTCGGGAGTTCTGGCCCCGCTGGTGGACCTCCTGATGGCACCTTGTTTTTGGCCACTGTGTGACACAGTGTTGGAACTGATGGGTTGTTGCCCTGACCCAACATGGCTTCTCTTATGTTCTTATGAACATATTGCCTCTAAAACAAGACCTGTGCAAATTTATTGCCCTCTCTCCCGCAAACAGTATGAATCATTCTGGTAAGCAATCCGAAAGACTTCTGTGTTTCAGCCATGCCAAAGCTATATCTAGAAACATCTCCTATGCCCCGGCATGTCTCTCTGCAGAATCAAGCCCCACTGGAAGAGGCTAGCAGGCAAGTATAAAACTCAGTGGTTTTTCCAGGATCTTGACATTTCAGTATTTATATTTGCCAGAGTTTCTGGCCCTCACTATTGTGAAGAAAAGCTTGAAATATCACGTGCTGTGTTAGCTGAGTCTTGGAAGCCATATACAGGGAACAGAATGCCTGTTAAACAGAGAGCATCACCTTTCTTCTCACACAACGTCCTGCTTTTTCCACACAGACCACCTTTACTGGCCCCTCCTCCTCCTCCTCCTCCACTGCCACAGTCCAACTCCCCTGTGCTTAAGGGATTGGAGCACCCTTCCTATGAGGAAAGGCTGAGGAGTTTGTGACTTTTGGTTTTGAAAAGACACAACAAAGGGGGGGGGGGTGCACACACCCGACAAAGGTTTATAAAATCTTCACGGGGTGGAGAGAGTGGACACAGAGAACGTTTTCTCCCTCTTCCAAAATTCTAGAATTTGTGGGCATCCGGTGAACTTGATGGGTAGCAGATTCAGGATGGGCAAAAGGAAATGCCTCTTTACAGAGAGAGTGATTAAAACATGGAATTTACTGCCGGAGGATGTAGTGATGGCCACAGGCGTCGGTGGCTTTAAAAGGGGATAGGACGGATTCATGGAGGAGAGGTCCATCAGGGGCTACTAGCCACGGTGACTAAAGGGAACCTCCACATGCAGAGGCAGTAAATCTTCAAATACCAGTGCAAGGAGGCAAAATCAGGGGAAGGCCTCGGCCCCTCTGCCCTGTTGCTGGACCTTCAGATGGACTAGTTGGCCACTGCGTGAGACAGGATGGTGACCTAGATGGACCTTCACTGGTCTGACCCAGCAGGGCTCTTTTGATGAACCAAATCAAAGCAAATCCTGCCAAAAATCTCCATCATCAAATGTCCAAGATCAGATTAGTCCCAGCCCTCCACCTGCTCCCTTCTTAGCTTACCGGCTGCTGAGCTGAACATCCCAGTACTGAGGACCAAGAAAGCCAGCATTAGGCGGCTCACGTGCAGCCCAAATTTCTTGCACACCGTCCTGAGGAAGCAGAGAGAAGAGCATAAGGGAGCACCAGCACACGGAGGAATCAACACTCAATGCAGCTGATACGCAGTAGATGGCCAGTACAGAAGATGATGAGATAACATGGAAAGAAGAGGATAGAGAGGCGTGACTGTTCGGGCTGAGGGAACTGTGGGCTCACAAATGCTGGTTCTTGGGGGAAGGAGGGCTGTTGCCATTGCTTGTAAAGGGTTTTGTTTTATGTTTGATAACACGGGAATTGTTCTCTGTCTAGTTTTAATAAGCGAGTTATGTTAACTGAGATGATGATTAGGTGAACTCCTCATGCTGGAATGTGTTAAAGAGTAACAATATTTTCTATAAGCAATGTGTAACCTCCAACCTTGGGTTCTTAGTAGATTTTCTTTTCTGTTTCCCATAGTTTGTAGTGTTCCCTTCCTTTTTTCTTGGTAGTTTTGTAGTTTATTTAGAAATGCAAATTAAAAAAATCCCCTTCGGGGGACGAAAAAAACACAAAAAACATTCAATGCAGCTGGGAACTCACAGCACTGCAGATGTTACTGAACTAGATGAGCCAGTGGCCTGATTCAGGATCGGGTACCTAAAGAGACTGTGGCTCAGACAGAGCAGCTGCTTGGCAGGCAGAAGGTTCCAGGCTTGGTCCCTGGCATCTGCAGGCTAAAAGTGGTGGTCTTCAACCTTCCCAAATTTGGGGCCCATCTTTAACTCCCATCCAGCAACATGGGAACCCACTGAGTTGCAAGCACATGACAGGAAGTAACATGACATCACAGGGCAGGAACTGAAGGACCCACGACTGTGCTGGAAAGGAATCCTTACATGGGAACATATGATGGTGCCTTATGCCAAATCAGCCCACTGGTCCATTAAGGTCAAGTACTGCCTACTCAGACGGGCAGAAGCTCTCCAGGGTCTCAAGCAGACATTTTTCACATCACCTACTATCTGATCTTTTTAACTGGAGATGTTGGGGATCGAACCTGGGACCTTCTGCATGCCAAGCAGAGGCTCTACCACTGAGCCACAGCCCCCTACGCTCCTTCTTCACCCAAAGAGTTATGAACATGTGGAATTCATTGCGCAGGAAGTGGTGACGGCTACAAGCATAGACGGCTTCAAGAGGAGACTGGATAAACATATGGAGCAGAGGTCCATGAGTGGCTATTGGCTACAAGGTATAGGTGGAATTATGTCTGGGGCATTATTCTTGGTGCTTGGGGGGCAACAGGGGGAGGGCTTCTGGAGTTCTGGCCCTGCTGGTGGACCTCCTGATGGCACCTGGGTTTTGGCCATAGTGTGACACAGAGTGTTGGACTGGACGGGCCACTGGCCTTATCCAGCATGGCTTCTCTTATGTTCTTTTTTATTTTACTACATTTACAGTCTGCCTCTCTCACTGAGACTCAAGCATGCAAGTCAATGCAATCAATAGGATGAGACATCTGAGGAGCAAATGCTTATGGATCTATTATTTTGGTTTCTAACCAAACCAGGGCTTCAAGGTAACGTTATAAAAGAAAACACATATACAGCAAAAGCATTCGACATGGGGAGTCATGTGCTATGGCACACAACTGAAAAACATTCTCGCAGTGATGTCCATCAGCAGCCGCGCTATTTACACCAAAAGCTACACAGAGGAAGCATCTCCTGTACTCACTTATAGAAGTAAAGTTCACAAACACAACTCAGGAAGGCCAAGAGGCAGCGGACAAAGTAGAAGATGAGGACCTGGGGAAAACAGAAGGCTTTTAGGAAGAGCCAGACCCAGCTGCTTCAGCCCACCGGTGAGACATCATAAAGCTGGAACAATCGCAGGACAAACAAACAAAAAATAAGGATTCGAATCCAGTAGCACCTTAAAGACCATCCTTTTCAAGCTTTGACTCTTGAAAGCTGAATACCCTGGAAATCTTGTTGGTCTTTGAGGTGCTACTGGACTTCGATCTGGCTTTTCTACTGCAGACCAACACGGCATCCCACCAGAAAAAAACATGAATGAGCATAAAGTAAGGAGGCCTCGCTTCAAAAAGGATGTGGGCAGAATGGAGCGGGTGCAGAGGGGACCGAAGAGGATGATTGAGGGGCCTGGGGACCAAGAAGCCCTGTGAGGAAAGGCTGAGGGACTTGGGAATGTTCAGTCTGGAGAAGAGGCGGTTGGGGGGGGGGGACAGGATGGCTCACTTGAAGTACCTGAAGGGCTGTCACTTCGAGGAGGGCAGGGAGCTTATTCTGTTACATTGTAACTTTTATGATATGGCGAGACAGATGTTAATTTTTCCATTGCTGTCCAAATTTAAACCCTTGGCTGTCCAGTTGAAATTTGCGGAATTAAGGATTTTAAAATTTTTGCTGGAAGACCGGAGAGAGAGCTGTGGCAAAATTTTGCTTCCAGGCCCTTAAAAAAAAGGAAGCTTGTACCTTAGATAGTGAGTTGATGACAAATTAGCGTTTTTTGGTGCATTTTAATGACAATTGTATTGCTCTCATATCCATTTTAATGTTTTTTATATATCTACTTGATTTTATGTATTTATTGTGTATTTTATTCTTCTTCTTGGAAATGTTATATAGTGGCTGGTCACTTGACCGTATTAATAAACTTGAATAAACTTGAACTTGATTATTACGGTTTCTAACCAAACCAGGGCTTCAAGGTAACGTTATAAAAGAAAACACATATACAGCAAAACCATTCGCCTGTCCGTACACACCCAAGTCACGTGCTATGGCACGCAACTGAAAAACATTCTCGCAATGATGTCCATCAGCAGCCGCGCTATTCACACCAAAAGCTACACAGAGGAAGCATCTCCTGTACTCACTTATAGAAGTAAAGTTCACAAACACAACTCAGGAAGGCCAAGAGGCAGCGGACAAAGTAGAAGATGAGGACCTGGGGAAAACAGAAGGCTTTTAGGAAGAGCCAGACCCAGCTGCTTCAGCCCACCGGTGAGACATCATAAAGCTGGAACAATCGCAGGACAAACAAACAAAAAATAAGGATTCGAATCCAGTAGCACCTTAAAGACCAACCTTTTCAAGCTTTGACTCTTGAAAGCTGAATACCCTGGAAATCTTGTTGGTCTTTGAGGTACTACTGGAAGGACCAGTACTACTGCAGACCAATACGGCATCCCAATAGAAAAAAACATGAATGAGCATAAAGGAGGCCTCGCTTCAAAAAGGATGTGGGCAGAATGGAGTGGGTGCAGAGGGGAGCGAAGAGGATGATTGAGGGGCCTGGGGACCAAGAAGCCCTGTGAGGAAAGGCTGAGGGACTTGGGAATGTTCAGTCTGGAGAAGAGGCGGTTGGGGGGGGGGGACAGGATGGCTCACTTGAAGTACCTGAAGGGCTGTCACTTCGAGGAGGGCAGGGAGCTGTAACTGTTGGCCACAAAGGAGAGGACTCACCAATAATGGGTTTAAATTACGGGCGGGAAGGTACCAGCTGGATCTTAGGGAAAACTTTTTGACAGTCAGAGTTGTGCCACAGTGGAATCGGCTGCCTGGGGAGGTGGTGAGTTCCCCCTCCCTGACAGTTTTTAAGCAGCGCCTGGACAAACACTCGTCAGGGATGCTCATCTAGGCTGATCCTGCACTGAGCAGGGGGTTGGACTAGATGGCCTGTAGGGCCCCTTCCAACTCTGTGATCCAATGATTCTATAACTTACGGCTGCTTGTAATTACATACGGTTTGGAAAAGTGTCACCATGAGCATTACCTTACCCAGTGGGCAAACTGGTTTTAGTTTCATATGCACCATCACCACAAGTCTGCAGATATGGTGTGATTACACCCATGGAGCAGAAAGAAAACCACAATGCTGAGAGTCTCCTGTTGCCATTGTAGTTGACGTGTTGTGATGGAACAGAATGTGGACGAGGAGTCCCAGTGGCGGTAAACAAACAAGCGAAGAAGAGTACGACTGGAACCACCCCGAGGTTGTTATGGTTTTCAAGTCTCATGTGTTACTAAGCCAGTCATGAATGTCGGGGGCCGAGTCAGACTGAGGATCAGCCACTACGGGACTCAAAAACACCAGCTAAAAAAAACACAGTTGGCCAAACTCCCTCTTGCAAAATATGGAGCAGAGGTCCATCAGTGGCTATTGTATTCTTGGTGCTTGGGGGTGGGGGCAACAGGGGGAGGGCTTCTAGTGTCCTGGCCCCACTGGTGGACCTCCTGGTGGCACCTGGTATTTTTGGCCACTGGATGGGCCATTGGCCTGATCCAACACTGGCTTCTCTTACGTTCTCATAAGAAGGAATTAGGTAAGCATAAGGAGCAGAAGTCCATCAGTGGCTGTTAGCCACAAGGTATAGATAGGAACTCTGAGGCAGGTCATGCTCTGTATTCTTGGTGCTTGGGGGGGGGACAACAGTGGGAGGGCTTCTAGTGTCCTGGCCCCACTGCTGGACCTCCTGATGGCCCCTGGTGTTTTTGGCCACTGTGTGACTCAGTGTTGGACTGGATGGGCCATTGGCCTGATCCAACACTGGCTTCTCTTATGTTCTTATAAGAGGGAACTGGATAAGCATATGGAGCAGACGTCCATCAGTGGTTATTAGCCACAAGGTATAGACAGGAACTCTGGGACAAGTTATGTTCTGTATTCTTGGTGCTTGGGGGTAAGGGGCAACAGTGGGAGGCGTTCTAGTGTCTCCTGGCCCCACTGCTGGACCTCCTGATGGCCCCTGGTCTTTCTGGCCCCTGTGTGACTCAGAGTGTTGGACTGGAGGGGCCACTGGCCTGATCCAGCATTGGCTTCTCTCGTGTTCTTATGTTCTTAAATAAGCTGTTCCTTCTGTGTATCGCAGGAGAGAAAAATCCCAAGCAGGAGAGTTCTAGGGATGCACGTTACCTTGTTTGTCTGCAGAACTCTGGCATGGAACAGGGCAGGCAAGGCGTGGAGCCACAGGTAAGCGTAGGAGCGGATGGCGTAGGCGGGAGAGTATTCCCACGTCTGGAAGCCTTTACCGTAGACGAGGTAGTGTGTCTAGAAGAATCCGGGGCAGACACAAGTCAGAAGGTAGAAAGCTTTAGCTTGGGTGTCCCCAACTTTTTTGAGCCTGTGGGCACCTTGGGAATTTTGACACAGCATGGTAGGCGCTGCCACAAAATGTCTGCTGCAGGAGGTGGAGCCAGACATACAACGGATGCTGCAGCTGACCTTCACTCACACTCACACAGTAGAAAATCCTTGTGCTGTGGTGGCAGCGGCTGTCAAAGCAACGTTTCTAAAAATCTACACAACCAATCAAATCTCCAATAGTCTATCAGAAGCCTTGCTAGGCAAAAGCCCCACCTAGCCCTGCTCAGTTTCTAAAAACATTTGGTGGGTGCCATGAAAGGTGTGGGCAGGTGCCATGGCACCCACGGGCACCAAGCTAGGGCACCCTGCTTTGGTTTAATCCAGGGGTGCCAAACATGCAACCCAGGGGCCAGTTCAGGCCCCCAAAGGGCTTCTCTCAGGCCCACAGTGGAACTGGCTGTCTTCTGCTGCTTCTTCCAGTTCTGCTGCGTCATCGTAGGTTTCCAGCTTACAGATACACACCTGAACAGCATACTCAGGATTGCAACAGCACGGACATTTTGATGCAGTCATTCAGAGCAAGAGGTGTCAGTTATCAGACACTGTTAAATAAACAAAATATTGCAAGAGTGCTAATGTTTTAAGCATGTTTTTATTTTAAGTTTAAAAAAACCCTTTGTTTGTGTCCTTTATAAATTTTATATCTCCGCTATCTGGCATTACATTTTATGACACACATGGTTTGGCCCAACAAGGTCCCATTTATGTCAGATCCAGCCCTCATAACAAATGCGTTCGACACCCCTGGTTTAATCCATGCACACAGAGTTAAGCCTGGAATGCTACCATTTATGGGCCAAGTTTTGACCTAGATTTGCAAATGTCTTGGCAACAACCAAGGAAATAAGCATCTGCGACATGATGCTCATGTATCAGACTATTCCCAAGGCCATAATCTAAACTGGACTGAACATCTACCCATTCATAACCCGAACAGGACATTTTAAATCCAGGCAAGAAAGCCACTCACAGGTTCCCAGTAGTTATACGTCTCATCGCAGTCAGAGATGTTACTCAGCAGAGCTGCACAGAACCTGGCTGAGATCAGACACTTGAAAGCTGTAGATCCTTCGGGGGCCCAGACGTGTCCCGCTTTGCTCCCAGACACCCTGACCAAGAGTCAAAAGGCATGAGTGTTAGCCCAGTTACTGTATAAGGTGAATGCACAAAGAAGCTCAAGCAATCACTCCAGGTTTTAAATGGAGCGTTCCCAAACACTTGGACTTGCTCAGAAAGACTGGCATCTGCATTCTAAAACATTTTTACTCCCCTCCTTGGGACTCTCCTACGTATTTATATCGTGTTCACAGTATATTGATCCAAACAGTTTATTATTATTAGACAGCTACTAATTTCAGAATTGCCACTGCTACAGAAGTAACCAGTGAATGCTGTCCTGAGCCAGTTCTCATCAAAATGCCTGACCAGAACCAAACAAGGCGGAAACTTCACCTCCCTAGGCTGCTACTTTTCTAACTACCGTCTGCAGGGCTTCTTTGTGCAAAAGGAAAAATAGAAGCAAACCTAGCTGTTGGTTTAAGTGGTCTTCCCAGAGAGGTCAATTTGGTTCTCCTGGGGGGGGGGCTCACAAGCAATGTCAGATGTGTGGCACATGGAGAAGTGGCTTCACGGCCCTCTCCTCTGCACCATTTCCCCACCTGGAAACGATCAGGGGGGTCCTGTTTGTCCTACCTTTGTGACACAGTAAATGATGCAAAAATTACCTAGTAGGACCCCGGTTTCACCAAGTAGTACAGCCCACTATCCCTAATCATTCACAACCTTTTAACGGTCTATATTTGTAGTTTATATTCTGAATATACATATATAAGAACCAGCGTGGTGTATTATTATTATTATTATTATTATTATTATTATTATTATCTTAATTTCTATCCCCCCCTCCCCGCCAAGGCAGGATCAGGGCGGCTCGCATAAACACATGTATAATCATAAACTTAGTATAAATAATCCTCCTAAAATGTATTAGTAAAACATTGGAACAGAGTTAGTGAGCGAGAGCGAGATTATTTATAAAACGGCTTAGGCAACCGCATATTCCCGTGATGGTCACATTAGCTCAGTTCTCTAACTATTATGCGTCGGTAAGGTAAAGAGCTGCGGTGGCTCAAGTGGTTAAGACGCTGAACTGCAGGCTGTGGAAGGTCGGTAGTTCAGCAGTTCGGGTGCCGCAAGACGGAATGAGCTCCCGTCTCTAGTTCCAGCTCCTGCCAACCTAGCAGTTCGAAAGCAAGACATTGCAAGTAGATGAATAGGTACCA